TCCCATGCAAAAGTGTTGGCCTTCTTCAGGACTTTGAAGAAAGGCAGGGACCTTTCAGCTGACCGGGAAAGGAACCGGCTGAGTGCCGCTAGACGACCGGTCAACTTCTGGACATCCCTCACAGATGTGGGGGCCTGCATTTCAGTGATAGCCCGAATTTTTTCTGGGTTGGGCTCTATTCCTCTCTTGGTCACCATGAACCCCAAGAACTTCCCGGTATGAACCGCGAAGACGCACTTCTTGGGATTCAACCGGAGGTTGTATCTTGCCATGATATCGAATGTGGCGCGCATATCAACCGGGTGATTGAGAGATACCTGGCTTTTGATTAGCATGTCGTCAACGTATGCCTCCATGGTCTTTCCCAGCAGTGGCTTGAAGAGCTTGTTCACCATGCGCTGGTAGGTTGCCCCCGAGTTCTTCAAGCCAAACGCCATCACTCGGTAGCAGTATGTTCCTTCGGGGGTGACGAATGACGTTTTCTCTTCATCCTCCTCGGCCATGTAGATTTGGTGGTAGCCCTTGAATGCATCCATGAAACTTAGGAGTTCGCACCCCGTAGTCTCGTCCACCATTTGATCTGGACTGGGGAGGGGGTATGAATCCATCGGACACGCCTTGTTCAAGTCCGTGTAGTCCACACACATTCTCCATGTGTCCCTCTTGGGAGCGAGGACCACATTGGCCAGCCAATCTGGGTATTTAACTTCCCGAATGTGACCAACACTAAGGAGGTCCTTCACCTCCTTCTTGACGAAGTCTCGCCGGTCGCTGGCCAGATACCTCTTCTTCTGGCGTACCGGTCGACTTCCCTCCCTTACTGCCAACCGGTGACAGATGATTGAGCGGTCAATTCCAGGCATATCTGCCACGCTCCATGCAAATATGCCCGTGTACTCTTGGAGCACCCGTGTAATCTCTGCCTTGAGATCTTCGGGGAGATTCGCTCCAATTCTGACCATCCTCGAAGAATCACCCGGGTGAAGTTCGATTTCCACCGTCTCGGCCTCGGGCTCCAATTTCTCCTGGGTCTCTCCCTTTGTGATCTCTTGGGAGATGACATTGACCCCCTCGGTCATCTTCTTGACTGCCCGGGCATAGCACTCCCGGGCGTTCCTCTGGTCGCCTTTCACCTCACCCACACCATCTGGAGTGTGGAACTTCATGCACAGGTGAGGCATGGAAATTACCGCCCCGACCTTATTGATGCCCGGCCTTCCAAGGATCGCGTTGTGGACGCATTTGATGTCCACAACTATGAACCGCATCTTCTTCCATACGGTTTTTTCGCCCGATCCTAGTTCGACCGGTAGGACTATGGACCCCTCAGCTTCCACTGTGTCTCCCGTGAAACCTGAGAGAGGAGTTTTGAGGGGTTCAAGTTGTGTCCGACACAACCTGAGTTTTTGGAAAGTCTCCAGGTATAGGATGTTGACACTGCTGCCGGTGTCAACAAGTACCCGGGCGACGTTCACCCCGTTGATGTCCATGGTGATGACCAATGGATCATTGTGATCCTCACCGGTAGGAGGGAGGTCCCGGTCAGTGAAGACTATTGGCTCCCTCCTGGGATACTTACGCCTGGCCGGTTCGGTACTCACCTCACCAACGTAAATGCTGCGAACCCAGTTCTTCCGTTGCGCGGCTGAGTCTCCACCCTCAGGTCCGCCGAAGATCATGCCGATGTGTTCCTTTTCAGGGGCAGGTTGCCGCTCCTTCGGCCGGTTATTCCTCCGCCGGTCGTTGTCCCGGTCATCCTCTGGGAAAGATGGTCTAACCCATTGATGACTCTTCTCCTGGGCTTTCTGCAAATATTCTTTGCCCAGTTCTCCGCTGTCTATCATTTGCCGGATTACCCCCTTAACACTCTTGCATTCGGAAGTGCTATGGGAATCTGACCTGTGGTACGAACAATAGGTGCCCGACCACTGACGCCCAGATTGACCGGTAGGATTGTCCGGAGGATTGACCGGTGCTTTCCTGACCTCCTGGCATTCTTCTGAATTGACCACTCGGACTACCGGGTCATAGTGGTGCCTTGGCCGGCTGGGTACCGGCACTTCTTCCTTCTTGACTTGCACCGGCTTAGGCTTGTAACCATGCTCGGCTTCTTTCTTCGCCCGAAGTTGAGTCTCAGCCTCGGCGAACTCCCATGCAGTATGGTAGGCTTCCTGATACGTGGCCGGGGGTTTTCGGCAGAATTCCTTGTATAGTTCCCCGGCACGTAAGCCGTTCAGGAGGAGGGACAACACCGTCTTGTCGTCCATCTCCTCAACCTTGTCTACCTCTTCCTTCCACCGGGTAAGGAACTGAGTGAGGTTCTCATATTCCCTCTGCCCGGCTGTACTAAGATAGGTGAATTTCTTCCTCTTAGTACAGTTTTCCTGGAACTTGGCCTTAAATTTTGAGGCCAAGTCACTGAATGAATCAATACTTCCCGGGCGAAGTTTGTTGAACCATTCAGTAGCTCGATTCCGCAGGGTTTGGAAGAAAAGGAGGCACTTTTCTTCATCCGTACAACCATTCATAGGTGCACTTTGGTTGAAAGAATCCAGATGTATTTCTGGATCCTCCTTGTCGGTAAACCTTGGGGCGTCTATCTTGACCTTTCGTGGGAAAGGTGTCAGATGGACCCTTGTAGTGAACGGGGACCCTGCGAGGGGTTTGTCCCGGTCATTCTTCTCTCCAACCTTCTTCTCCAGCCTCTCCAGCTTTGCCTCCATCTGCTGGACGCGATCATTGGGGGTGGTTAACCGGTTAGCCACCGGTACCCTGGGTTGGCTTTCTGCCTCTTCCTCCTGACGAGAGGCCCTCGTCCTGGCTGGCTCCTGCCAGTTTGACCGGGAGCGTTGGGTGCGGGCAGGCTCGGCCTCCCTCATCTCGCCTAACCGGGAAAACACGCTGACATGGGCAACGCTTTGCCCCAACCTTAGCTTGGCTGATTTTCTCTGGCCCTCCTCCCTATCCCCCAGCCTTTCGAAGGCGGAGTTTCGGGAGGTGGCGGGTCGGATGGTTTTTCCCTTCTTCTTCTTGTGGGTCCTTGGAATGTCCCACTCGTCGTCTCCGCTCTCCACTGAGACGCAGTGACCATCGGGGGTGATTAGTGGATTCGTACCTTGCGGGGGACGCGACGGCCCTGCGGCGTTGAGNGGTGCGGGCAGGCTCGGCCTCCCTCATCTCGCCTAACCGGGCAAACGCGCTGACATGGGCAACGCTTTGCCCCAGCCTTAGCTTGGCTGATTTTCTCTGGCCCTCCTCCCTATCCCCCAGCCTTTCGAAGGCGGAGTTTCGGGAGGTGGCGGGTCGGATGGTTTTTCCCTTCTTCTTCTTGTGGGTCCTTGGAATGTCCCACTCGTCGTCTCCGCTCTCCACTGAGACGCAGTGACCATCGGGGGTGATTAGTGGATTCGTACCTTGCGGGGGACGCGACGGCCCCGCGGCGTTAAGCGCACCTGCAAAGTTGATGGGGGCCACAGCGCTGACTAGCTGCGGCTGGAAAGGTGATGGTTGCGGCACAGGCGTTTGGAAAGGAGATACCGCCATCGGAGCTTGTAGGGGCATGGTTCCCGCGCCTGGAAGAGCGAATGGATACATACCAGGGAGGAAAGGCATCCCCCCATTCTGTTGGCACATAGCCATGACCTGGCCAAAGCCTTGGATGGCCTGCAGGTTGGCTGGGTCATTCATGAACTGAGTCATGCTTGGTGGGAAAGTGACCCTCGGTCCAGCGGAAGGGACGGGGGCCGTGAATGGGCTTACCATGCTGGGTGTTGGGACCGAGCTTAGTCCCAACGGCAAAACCGGAGTTGAAACGGCCGGCAGGGTAGCAACCATGGGGACGCTGGTACCTTCAGTGGTGGCTTGCACCTGAGCAGAGGTAGCGTTGATTTGCTGGCCGGAAGACATTTTGAGTGGTATTTTTGTGGGTAGGTTTGTGTTTAGAAGAGAAGAAACCTTAACGGTCCCACGGTCGGCGCCAAAAATGATGGTGTAAATTACCTGACCGGTCAGACTATACTAGACCGGGTCTAGAATAGTCGGCTTGATTCAGTAAAGTAAAGAAAGTAAAAACACTCAGAATGACCGGTAGGACTTTAGGTGGAACACCTGTAGCCCGAATTGTATTAAAACAAGGAATGCACGGTCACTTTTACAAGGGAGTTTAGAGAGAGTGAATTCGGATTCCCTTCTTCGAGGGTTACAAGAGGTATATATACTAGGCTGAAGGGGGGGCAAGACCACGTGCACCCACGTGGGATCACGCTGCCGTAGGTGGGAGGTGACTGCTTCTGAGCTGCCTTGTCCTCTTGCGTAGGGGGCTGCGCCTTCGTCGTGTTCTGGTTTGGAAAGATTCCTTCAACATCTCCGCAATTCCAACCACTATAGTCCAAATCCTTTTGGATTCCTCCTGCCGACACTCTCCGATCCTCGAAAACTAGACCGGGTGATCTTTGAGGGCTGGTTTGGCTAACTTCGGAGGATGAATTTAGGCGATGGAATAGTTTGACCGGTATACTAACCCGAAGTGTACCGATCAACTTTTTGGTCAACCAGCCCTCCCTTTGCTGACGACTCAGATCTTCCTTTCAAGTTTGACTTCTTTGACCGGTCAACTTTCGGATTCGGACCCTTGACCGGTCATGGGTGAAATACACCCATCAACATGTAAGTACATTTTATACACGCGTGTACACATGAAAAAAATTCTTTTCATATTTCTTAGGTGTGTACATATAAAATTGTAATATTCTTACGTAAAATATATCTATAAATTTTATATGTCATTTTAAAAAAAATATGAAATCAAAAATTAATCGGTGCTTCATATATAGGGGTGGACGTAGTCCATGACGATTCGTGATGCTACCAGAACCTATCACGAAAAATGTATCAATGAATTTTATATTTCATTTTTAGAAAAATGTAAAATTGAAAATAAATATATGCTTCACACGGACTCGTATATTCTTACGTAAAACATATATATATATATAAATTTTATATTTCATTTTCAAAAAAATGTGAAATTAAAAATAAATTTTAATATGTACTAAAGTCGCTAACTCGCTATGCTACTATCAATATATAAAACATGTAAGTATATTTTATACACGTGTGAACACATGAAAAAAATTCTTTTCACCTACTTAACGTGACTCTCTAGACTTCTTTTTACAATTATTTGCATTTAACATTAATAATTATGAAGTAGCCATGTGGTATCTAAGTGGACAAAAGAAAAGATGACACCTTTAAAGCCTAGCTTATGTGGCATGACACAAGGCGCAACCACATTTAATCCGCTCCACTTTATATATGATACATATGATTTTACGCAAAATAAAGTACGGAGTAAAATTTAAAGTCTTTTTTAAGTTTTTTTCATTTAGAGATTGATATAAAAATTACAAATAAAACCTATATATTTAAAAACTACATCAAAAGTTTAATAAAACAAGAGATAACAAAAATATTTTATCAAATAATCAATCAAGAATATTTTCTTTTATAAATAATGAAAGGTGCAATTCTTGTTTAGACGAAAGAAGTATATTTTTTGCACATACTTAGAACATACATAGACCTGGCAAAAAATGTCTCGATCTATTTTTTCCCCAAAATCCGACCCAAAAACACCGAGTTTTAAACAAAGATTATCCAAAATTGACGAACCTAAAATGACTCACTAAAAAAAGGCTCAAACTCGACCACACATGAATCTAATCTGACCGACCCCTTAATGTAAGAGTTTTCAAAATCACCCGATCATATACTTTACCATTAAATACAATGTTATAAAAATAGGGTTATAATTATATTTTTTTCTTACCACTTATTTTTAGTGTATAAATTTATATTTTCCTACAAAAGTTTAAGGATATTGCATAACTCTCTTACTTTTTTCTAAAAACTATACATTTTAATTAAATTATTTATTTGATTAATATACATAAAAATAACTTCAGATTTTAAAATAAATTACTATGATAGATTTAATATATATTTTTTATGTTTTAGTTTTATTTAATGGGAAATGCAAGTGTTAATATAAATTTAAAATTTTTACAAATCAAAGCCATAACCTGTTAGGTCAACCCGAACCTGTCGACACTAGATCATCGATATACAATTCTCAAGTCGAATCTGAAGTAATCCAAACCTGTAGTAACAAAACCTAAACTCGACCTGACCGACCGATTTTCCAGTTCTAAACATGCACATTATTATAAAATTAGTGTATGTGTATTACAAACCCCTTGGTTCCCGTGACACTGGGAACCAATGTCATGGGATGACCCGGGGGCGCTCCAGTGCCCCGTTCGTAAAATTGACGGTTCCTACTCCCCCTAACCCCCCGGTAAACCCCTCCCACCCCGCCCCAACCCGAACACACCTCCCCACACCCTTCAATTTGCATACCTATTTATTTTTTTCATTTCTTTTCAATTCCTATTTTTTATTTTAATTTGTTTCTTTTTCCTATTCTTAATTTTATTTCTCGAACTTCCCAAAGAACTTCTTTTTGTTATGGAAAACAAAAAAATAAAATTGTTTAATTTGAGATAGATAAAGTTTATGTTAATTGTTTTTCATTTCATATATATATATTACTTCAAACACAAATAATTTTTAATATTTAAAACATTACTAAAAAAATTAGAATAGAAATTAAAAACCCTTCTAAAAATAGGAAAGAAAGAGAAGAAGAAAAAAGATATACAAAAAGGAAAAACACCAAAAAAAATGAAAATGGAAAATGAGCCCTGCCCTGCTACCCCCGTAGTTTATAAAATAGCGAGTAGTGTCTCATCTTTGTCGGAAAATGATTAGACGATAGTCAAAAAATAATAAGAGAGAGTGTATGCAATAATTTGAAACCACACTGATTTTATTAGTAAGTTTTGAGAATGGGACATTGATGCTCATTTTCAAAACGATACGGGGTATTGGAGCTATTATATTAGACCTAAGGCTATGGGGTACGTATCGGTATGTTTCTAAAAATTTATAGAAACAAATAAATATTGAAAAAATTTATATAAAAAAATATTGAAAAATTGGAACAATTAAAAAATTTAAAAGATTTATTTTGAGATAGAAAACGGGTGAAATACCAAAGTAGGACTAAAATATTGAAAATATACCAAAATAAGATTTTCATATTTTTATTCTCGAGATAAGACTTCCATTACCAAACATGGTCATGTACATTACCAAAAAAGTATAGTAATGTGCACATGTAAGTACACTGCTATATTAGCACAATGCAAAAATCTATTTTGGAAAAAAAATATGAAAATCCTATTTTAATAATTTTCTCTATGTTTTAATCCTATTAAGGATATTTCTAATAGAAAATTTAGTCCGTGGTTACTCTGGATGGTTTTATGCTAAAAATAACGTACGTTGAATTTGGTGCGTCATTTTCCTTAATTTTTTTTGTCACTCTCTGCCTTGAGAATTATGTCACGGCCCTAATCAATTCAATTAACACACCGCCACGTCTGACGACACCACCAATTTTCAATATAGGATTTACTCCATTTTATACAATTTTTTTAGAAAACACCAAAGATAGAAATATAATAATGAAATCACAAATGAAAAAAATATAAAAAAGGAAAAAATTAACAAAAATAAAAAAACAGCAAAGACTCTTGCATGCAATAGTGTAATGTAGAGCTGCCACATATATGGGTTTGCATGACAATCTCAAATATTATGCAGCCACGCATCCCACTGCCCATACCTTACCCATCATGTTCCCCCACCCCACACCCACCCCCACCCCACCCCATTCCACCGCTGTCTCTATATATAAACCTTTACATACACTGCTCCAATTCATACATGTATTCATCATTTTAGAGAGAGAGAGAGGGGTGAAAGATAGAGAAATGGGAAGTGACTGTGGAGGAGAGAGTTATCATAAGTTTCACGCCACCCACCAACTCTATCTTAACAAGAAGTACCTTAGAGACCCTGAAATTCCTCCGAGGAAGCTCGCCGGCGGCCGCCGGACCGCCGCCGACCCCGACCCTTTCGTCGATTCTCCGACGAAGGCGGAGGCGGAAACCCGTTTCCAGAAATACCTGCCCTGCAACAACAGCGACGATGACGGCGAGGGCGATGACCCGTACTCTTCGGACACTTTCCGGATGTTCGAGTTCAAGGTGCGGCGGTGCACGCGCAGTCGGAGCCACGATTGGACCGACTGCCCGTTTGCCCACCCCGGCGAGAAGGCTCGCCGGAGGGACCCCCGGAGGTTCCGCTATTCCGGAACTGTTTGCTCAGAGTTCCGGAAAGGGAACTGCCTCAGGGGGGAGGGGTGCGAGTACGCACACGGCGTGTTCGAGTGCTGGCTCCACCCGACCCGGTACCGGACCGAGGCGTGCAAGGACGGGAAGAATTGCAAGCGCAAGGTTTGCTTCTTCGCCCACACGTCCCGCCAGCTGCGCGTCATGCCGCCAGAGGGCCTCGAGAATTTCCCAGCGGTGGCCGCCGCCGCCGCCCCCGCCGGAAACCACTGCTGCCTGTGCTGCCACTCGCCGAACTCGACGCTCTTGGCGGCGGGAATCTCCCACATGTCGCCGCCGGTGTCTCCGTCCCTCCCGTCGCCCCTCTCTCCGGCAAAAGCCCCGTTTTCTAGATTCGGAGGCGGGCATGAGGCCGAACAGCTGGTGAGCTCTTTTGAATCCATGAATGTTAATGGAGGTAATAATAATTATTTTAATAATAATAATAATAATAATGCTGAGGATCATCAGCAGCAGTTTATTCTTTCTCCGTCAACTCCGGCTGCCGGAGGCGGCGGCAGGGGAGGAGCCACCACGAAGCTGTATAACGACAGCGGATTACCTGGGATTGATTTGGCGTGGGTCAACGACCTGCTGACCTAATAAAACCAAATTTTCATGAAAATTGATTAATTAAAGTGGTCCAAGCCGGTTATTATAATTAATTAATTAATGGGTAATTAAGATTAAGCTTGTTGGACAAGGAAGGGAGATGAAATGGATGGGAGATGAGTTATGTATATAGATCAGAATTGAGAGAGGGGAGGGGAGAATTGAAGATGAAGCTGGTGATGATGGATGGATGGATGGGTGGTGCATGCATCTCCTAATTTTAATTACAGTATTATTTAATTAATGATGTCACTGAATTGTTTTCATTATTTAATTTCCCGTGGATTGTTAGCCTAATTGTGCATTATTATTATTATTATTATTGTATTGGGTTATTATTAATTAATTGTAATCTTCGATGGTTGTGTGCGAGTGGCTTGTGATTTCAAGGTTGTAGTGGTTATATTTTGCTGTAATTTAATTTGTTCATCAAGGATGGGATAGACTCTTATGAATTTCAGGGAGAACTGAGAAGCAATAACGGTTATTAGATTATTGGAATAGCACTCTCTCTTCCTGAATTCAATTTATTATTTTATTCTAAACTAACTCTTTATTATTTATGGAATCAAATTTCATTTATTTTGTTTCTTTATTTTCGTTACTCATTTGATAAAATAATATAGTTTTATACGGAGTAAATTTTTTTATATAATTTTTTAATATATCAATTTTATTTTTTAATATATTCTTTTCTAATTTTCAAATAAATTGTATAAAAATTAACATCGATCAAGCATTGTAAATCGAAACAAGCGATTTAAATTATGACGGAGAGAATAATTATTTATTACTCCATCATGACATTAATTATACTTATGATATATGAATAGCAATCATCAGTTATAATTATTCTTCTTTATGTTGTTATACTCTCTGTCCTTCCTATACTAGAGAACCGAAAAATATGTTTTACGTGTAAGGTTTCAAATCTTTTCTATCACATCAGTTTTAATCTGATCTCATATTAATTTATTTCATAGTTTCACTGGAAATAGATATGAAGCTCTGAAATTTTTAATTGAGGCATCAAACCTTTATTTTTTAATTTTTTGATACACATTTTATAAAATTAAATTAATAAGATTTCATTAATCCATTGAATTTAAGCGACAGTTATTCAGTAAGATGAACTTCGTGTTGATTTTTCTTCGACATGCATCTTACATTTGTGGGACATGACGATGTCAAATTTAGAGATATATTCTACTAACTCCGTTTTTTAAAACACTTCATCTTTCATTTTTTTTACTTCCAACAAAACACTTCCACTTTCTATTAAAAAACCACTTTTACTCTTACTTTTTTATACCTTACCTATCACATCATACTTTATCTCTAATAATCTATCCATCACATCTTACTTTTACCTATCACATCAAGGGCAAAATTGGAACTCAACTACAATTTAATACTTCTTTATTTTTACACAAAGTCAAAATAGGAACACTTTTTCCAAACGGAAGGAGTATGTTAATTTATGAAGAGATGTATAATTAACATGTTTTATTAACTTTTTTCAAGACTACTGAGTACATCAAACTTAAAAATCTATCAAGAACATAGCCTTTGGCTATGAATATATCCTTCTTGCTCAACATTAGTTTGTCAGATTTGAATACCATGCAGAAATTATGTTTGTCCTGATACCAAATTTTTGCATATATCTCGCACATACAACACATTATTAAGTGTGAACTCCTGACCGGATTTCATCTTGAACTTTACTTTGTCCAAATCTTGACCCTCAAATTAGACGAAATTGCCCATCCACACCTTGCCGCAAGAAGTTTCCTTGAAGTCAAAGAGCATGACCCGATTAAGCAGAGGGCCTTATCCTTCTTTTGCTAGTTCTTCTAAGGCTTTTACGATACTCTGAAGAACTATGGCCCTTGATGCCACAGTTTAGTATTTTCCCGCAAACTTAGTCTTTGTGACACTTCTTTTAGAACCGAGCTTCTTTTTATCCTTGTTTGACTCTGTCCTTTTGGAAGAACCTTCTTTGGGTGGATGCTCCACCACATTGTCCATACTAGGAGCTACTTTCTTCTCGCGAGCAAGACCCTCTTCATAGATTCCGAGATAACCAAGAAACTATTCCAAGGTCATTTCTTTCTGTTTGATCTTTAAATAGCTCCAGAAGTCATCCCAAGCCAGCGGGCGCACATAAATGATAGCTGCTCCATGGAATGTCTCACCAACTCCCATTCTCTTGTTAGTGCTCTCATCAAATGAGGACCAATTCTTCAAATTTACTGACAACGTGTTTGAAATCCAACATCTTATGTTAGGAAAAGGAAACAATAATATTATGGAAGAATATTATTTCCTATAATATTCTTCCCATGCTTTTGTGGTGTACTTTATATATTTACTCTCCTAAACAATACAAACACAAGTTGGAAAATATATTGGAAACATATTTCCTATCATGGTATCGGAGCCTCTGGGCTGTTTTCTTTCCATCGACAAATTACTTGTGTAACCGATCACCATGTCGGTCGCATGATAGAAGAAAACAGATGATGACAATGGTGGTGCAACTTACTGTAGAACGATCTCACCCTAAGATCTCCATGCGAATGTTAATCCGCGATTGATTATCACGCAGGTTATCTTGAGAGGCGAAAACTATGATGAGTGGGCACGTGCAATCCGGACCGCATTTCGCGCTCGGAAGAAATTCGGCTTCGTGGATGGGTCAATTCCAAGGCCGGCTGATGGCTCCCCCGATCTGGAGGATTGGTGGACTAATAACTCGCTTCTTGTTTTGTGAATACAGAATACGATCGAGCCGTCTCTTCGTACGATGATATCCCATATGGAGATGGGAAGCGATCAATGGGACGACATCAAGGCTCAATTCTCTGTTGTCAATGGCCCCCGAATTCAACAGCTCAAACGGGAATTGACAACATGTGATCAACGCGGATTGAGCATCACCTCGTATTATGGACGATTGAAGAAACTTTGGGATGACTTGAACGATATTGATCCCTATCCCATGTGCACGTGCAGTAAGTGTACATGCAATCTCGCTCAACAATTAGAGAAAAAGAAAGACGAAGAAAAGGTGCACCAATTTTTAATGGGTCTCGATGAAGTCTTATACGGACATCTTCGCTCCACCATTTTGTCTCAACAACCATTTCCCACAGCCACCCGCATTTATCGCATCTTCACACAAGAGGAAACATCGCGTGCAGCCCTAACCCGTGAACGTCCCGAAAACACTGCTTTAGCAACTCGAGTCAACACTGTGGATAAACCCTGTGATAAAAGTGTGACGTGCTCTTATTGCAAAAAATTGTGTCACGACAAGGATACATGTTATCAAATGCATGGCTAACTTGAAGGTTGGGGTCAAAACTATGGCAATAGGGGACTCAAGAGAGGTCGCGGTGGCATGTCTTGGAGGGGTGCTGCTAGGCAGCAACCTCACGGCCCTGTGACAAATGCTAGGAGGCAGCAGCCTCACGCTGCCCAAGTGGCCGCTGCCCAAGTGGCAGATGCTGGGACGCCGCATGGCAGTGGCAATGGCGAGATTTCCAGCGGGGATGTGGTTCCTTCCCTCTCCACCGAACAGTAGGAAATTTTTTGCGCTCTTTTAGCTTCCGCAAAGGATTCTTCATCAGAGAAGTTGTCAGGTATTTCTTTTACTAAACGATGGATTATAGATAGTGAAGTTTGCATTAAATATGACTAAAACATAATGACTTTCCTAATGTAGGACTTAAACTTTTTTATTCCCTAAATAGGACATAATAATGACTAAGTTGTAGGACCTCAGGCGCTACCAACTCTTCTAAAACCAATTGGTGTTAGAAGATGCGCATACCCTAGCCTTATAGTGCATTCAGCACACAAGCGCCCACGACATTCGATTGTGACTTGGCCCACATAGCCTCCGCCACGGGACAATTGCTGCACACATGGCCAACAATCTCCCCCTCAGCAATTGCTCCCGCTGGGAATCGAACTCGTGACCTTGGCTCTGATACCACTTGTAGGACCTCAGGCGCTACCAACTCTTCTAAAACTAATTGGTGTTAGAAGATGCACAAGCCTTATAGTGCATTCAGCACACAAGCGCCCACGACATTCGATTGTGACTTGGCCCACATAGCCTCCGCCACGGGACAATTGCTGCACACATGGCCAACATAAGTGGGAGAAATAATGTCCAGTAATGATGGACATTTACTTAAATAATGACTACTTCATAATGATCAAAGGTCCTACATTAGGAAATAAAAACATATGGTCCTATATTGGGAAAGTCATTATGTTTTAGTCCTATTTAGGTAAATTTTCTCTTATAGATACCGGTACAACCAATCATATGACAGGGGATTTACAATGTTTATTTGATGTGCATCCTATACCAAGTTGTTATATTCATTTGCCCGACGGGAAGAAGGTAGCCACTACAACTGCAGGTCGTGTCAGGCTAAACGACTCCGTTGTCTTAACCAATGTTTTGTTTGTCCATGATTTGAGTTGTGATTTGCTATCGGTATCTCAGTTGATAACAGAGACTAACTGCTTGGTAAAATTCGATGGCTCATTCTGTGTGTTACAGGACCGTACCACGATGCGGGTGATTGGTGCGGGTAGACAATCCGATGGTTTATATTATTTTCAGCAGGCATCAAGGGGTTGTGCGTTAGCTACCGTGAAGGAGTGTCAGTTTGATCTATAGCATCGACGTCTCGGGCATCCGTTTGCGAAAATGTTATCTTTTCTACCTATTGCTAGTGATTGTAAATCTAGTATTCTGAGTAAAGGACCTTTTGCTATTTGTTTACGCGCAAAACAGTCTCATGCTTCTTTTCCTTTGAGTACTACAAAAGCTACAGAATCATTTCAAGTAATTCACATTGATGTTTGGGGTCCGTACTGGACACCTAGTTTGGATGGTTTTACATCTTTTTTGACGATAGTGGATGATTATTTTCGTGGAACTTGGATGTATTTGTTACGTGCTAAATCTGAAGTACCATCAATTTTTTGTCAATTTTATGCTTTGGTTGAATGTCAATTTAATAAAAAGCTTAAAATTGTGCGAAGTGATAATGGTACAGAATTTGAATGTCTTAACTCTTTCTTTCGTGATCATGGAATTTTGCATGAGACTTCGTAAACACCAACATATTCTTAATGTGGCGCGTGCTTTACGGTTTCAAGTGTCGCTTCCGATTGATTTTTGGGGAGAATGCATTCTAACTGCTGCATATTTAATTAATCGGGCTCCTTCCACGGTCTTGCATGGCAAGACCCCTTATGGGCTTATGTTCAATTGCCCACCAATCTTATCTCATGTGCGGACTTTTAGGTGCTTATGCTATGTTCATAATCAAGAGAGACATGGGGATAAATTTGAATCACGTAGTGTTCCGGGTGTCTTTCTCGGGTATCCCACGGGAAAAAAGGATGGCGTGTGTACTGTCGGGACACAGGAAAATTTATTCTTTCTCGTGATGTAATTTTTTGTGAAAATGACTTCCCATTTTAGGAATCCAAGACTCTCAGTGCGGAACCCTCAGTCCAAAATCAGCAAATATCTTTTCTTGATGATGAGGATGACACTGGAAGTGGACCGCAAGGCAGTGAGGTCTTTCTGCTACCGATTCTCCTCCATTTGTTGAATCAGGCAGGGCTGTAATTCTTCTGATAGTGGGCCGAAGCAGTGCGACAGTGGGCAGCAGCTCTCCCACCCGTGCGACAGTGGGCAAGAAATCGATGCCCTCCAGCCACCGTTCCGTCCACCGTCGTACCGCACGCACCTGCTCTGGGTCGTGGTCAGTGACAACGCACACCCAGCATCTATCCGCTTGACTGATTACCATACATATAGTGCTGTTTGGGATGACGCTTCATGTAAGTATCCCTTAACACACTATATTAGATATGCTCAATTTTCCACATGTCACAAAAGTTACCTAGATGCAGTGGATTCTATCTCCGAACCAACATTGTACAAAGATGTTGTTAAGTCTCCTTATTGGAGGCAAGCCATGTCCTAAGAAATTGATGCTCTCGAGAAAAATGATACATGGAAACTTGTTTCGTTGCCACGACACAAGAAACCTTTGGGATGCAAATGGGTCTATCGCATCAAGCGAAAGTCGGATGGTTCGATTGAATGTTACAAAGCCCGGCTTGTCATTTTGGGTAATCACCAAGTCGAGGGCATTGACTACCAAGAAACCTTTGCTCTGGTAATCAAGCTCACTACGGTTCGTGTTCTTCTTTCCATTGCAGCTATCCGCAACTGGGAACTTCACCAGATGGACGTTCACAACGCTTTTCTTCACGGTGATCTGATAGAAGAGGTGTATATGCGACTTCCTCCCGATTATCGATCTCACAGTTATGCTAGGAGTCTCTTCTATTTATAATTTACCATGTGTTATATTGTATAATGAGCAATATTAATATAATATTACAATATTTCAATAGTTTGTACACCCCCACTTGTAAGAAAAGTATGAAATTATAAGTAGAACCTGTTATTACGCTGATGTGAAATTCTTGTCGCCTATGGTTTAATTTGTTAAATTTTTGACATAATCTTAAAGTGTCTAAGTTTTATAATTTTTTTCTATATACCAATATTTAAATAAAATAAATTGAAAAAATTTAACATTTTACTTCATTTTGTACAATGTGACATTCTTTTTGGAACGAGGAGAGTATCAATTTACATTACAATAATAAGAAAAAAAATCCTTTACATGCCCTAATTAATAGACAACCCTATCAACAAATAAAGTTGAGCTGGTGCATGCATGTTAGCATGTATGTATGTGTATATATGATGATGATGATTGCATGATGGGTAAGGTGTGTGGCACATTCATTTTGGTTTCCTAGGAGGGGAACTTTTTGATGGTGGACAACAAATGTGTGGATTGTTACATTACTTACATACATACATATACCCACGAAGTAGAATGAGTATTAATTACTAACATACTCCCTGGCAAGAGTTTTTGTGAAGGAGAAAGTAAAAAAAGTGAAGGTTGTTTTGTGAAGGTGAAAGATAATTTTTTGGTGAAAATGGGAATGAAAAAGTATGGGATGGATAGTGTAGTATGAAATAGAGATTATTAGATAGGTAGTGTAGAATGAAAATGGATAGTGTAGTTCCCGTTTTAACCTTCAGTTGATGTTAATAATATTTTCTTATTCTTACACAAAGTCAAAAGAGGAACACTTTTTCCAAACGAAGGGAGAATTAAAGATGTTTGGCATCAAATCAAAATAATGCAAAATGGTAGCTCCACTCTGCAATATTATTATATTTTCACCATGCATGTATATAGCGTAGGTGTGAAGAAGATTCTATGTACCTGTCCGGGTGAGTGAGCTAGCATGCATGATATGCATTCCGTGCAGTCATGGGTTAGCTGCAGTGATACTTAAAATGATGTCTAGAAATTAAATTTACATTTCTTTATAACTCTACTTTCTTATTCAAGAAAGAAATATGTTGTTCACTTTGCTTGAAACAAATCTTAATCACATATTTTTTCGCTATTTTCAATAGATGATTGACATATATACAGACAATTATCATCTGTGTTCTTCACACGATTATAATCATCCGCGTATGTAAGTCATCCGTGGGGGCACTCGAGGTGGAATTTTAGCATTTTTGTTTTTAATTTTCATATATGTAAATTTGAACTATAATATTATTTAAGAAGAATTTATTTAAATAGCACCAAAACATAATGACTTTCCCTAAATAGCACTACATGTGTTTTTCTTCCCAATGTAGCTCTTTTAGTCATTTTGCATAAATCATTATTCAAGTAAATATTCGTCATCACTGGACATTATGAACATTATTAAGGGCTATTTAGAGAATAAAATAGTTTAAGTGCTATTTATAGAAATGGCTCAAGTTTTAGTGCTATTTAGTACAAATATTTCATTATTTAAAAACCGAGGTGAGGATGTAAATTTACATTTCTTTACTTTCTTATTGAAGAAACAAATATGTGGTTCAATTTCCTCTCTTTCAAATAAATTTAATAACAAAGGTAAATTTAAAGTTTAAATTGTATGATTCTTTCAACTTAAAATGTGGTTCTATCTCTTTCAAGTAAATTTTGAAAAACGGAGTAAATTTAAAGTTTAAACCCTATGATTCTTTTAAATTAAAAATGGACATATTGTATGTGAACTTATAAGAAAGGTATCCTAGTGTAAGTCAAGGCAGCCCATATAATGAGGAGGTCCCCATCAAGTAGGCCTTTCCCGAACGGCCCAACCCTTATTAACTCTAAACGGATGGGATATATACCCTACACTTATCCCACACAGCCACCCTTGTCATTTTCCGTTTTTGTGCTCCCCTTTGTAGAAAGTGTTACAACAATTCTAGTAGGTAGGTGCTGCACAAATGGCAAGGTAAAGGTTATACATGGGCTAATATATTGGAGTTTCATTTTCAATAATTGGGTTAGTAAATGTTAAGTATAAGATTTCTGTAAGTAATAGGTGTAGGATTTATTCATTATCACCAATTTGTGATTAAAACTTAATTTATCTCGTCTCAGGTGACTATCCTTCCGGTTCTGAACCACCCTCACAAATAGTGTTTTTTATTGTTTTGTTAGAGCAACTTCCAGGAAAGTGTCAAAAATTAAAAGCTATATGTCATTGGAAAAATTATCTCAAATCATCTCACATCGGGATCTTTCAAAAATAATCCCAGTGTTCTTTGTCGCCGGAAATAATCCCACATTTCCACATGTGTGTGAGTTTTGAAT